GAATGTAATACTAAATTATTTTGTAGTTCAGGAAAAGGAGGTATTTGTGTGGTTGTAAACAATTAGGGAAGCTTCATTGTGTAAGTGGGATCTAAATTGGTCCTAAAGGATGAAAAATATTTTTAAAAAAAGGCAAGGAAAAGAAAGACACAGCAGGTGGGGAGAACAGGACAAGGAATTCCACTATCTGTCCATCCACTCAGCGATGAATGACCATCTACTCACTGTGAGGCCTTGGCAGGAGAGTGGAGACTCAGTAAGAAGTCACAGTCCTCAAAGAGCTCACAGTCTAAACTTGGCTCTTGAGAAGTCACAGTCATTGGAAGCCACACTAGTAGAGGCTCCCCAGCTCTAAGGATGTAGAATTGTGCTGATCTGGGAGACTCTAGATGGGAGAGGCAGAGGCAGGGCATGCCACTGAGTCCTCCTCATCCCAGGAGCAGCAGACAAGGCCACCTCCTTCCTAAGCACCTACCCTCTGAGTGCCTAGCCTTCTGCTAGGCACTGTGGTGCATCAGGGGAAGCAAGAGGCATGCTCTCTGCCCTCAAGGTCAAGTCTAACCAAGGGTAGGGATAAATGACAAAACACAAGTCTACTGAAAAGTCATCAGTGGCGCCTATGCTCTTTAGGAGAAGGCACAGGTTCTTTTGCCTAATGCTGAAAAGCCCTTTGTGACCAGAACACTGTTGACCTCTCCAGCTTTGTCTCCTGCCATTTGTCAGTGACAGTTCTCAGCCCCTCATTTCCTCCAGAACTGAACTAAACCATTTTCTGTTGCAGAAGGTATTCTTCTGGGTTGCACCCCTCCATCTTTGCACAGGATAGTCCCACTGTCCAGAAGTCTTTCTCCCAACTTGTCCGGCAGGTGAACTCCTACCCATTCCTTCAAGGCCCAACATAAGCATCAGCTCCTCTTAGACAGCTTCCTTGCCTCCACCCCTTCCACAGACAGAGATAACTGTGCTTTCTTTTGTTCTTATACTGCATCTTGTATATAACCACAACAGTGTGATTTTGCCTACTTATCTGTCTGTCCTACTAGTTTTTAAGCTCCTTGGGGGCAGAGAGCCTGTCATATTTATTTCTGTATTCTGGGTATCAGGTCATAGGAGTTGCTCAGTGAGTAAATGATTAAGCAACTGAAATTCTAAGAGAGGTGTGGGCTAGTGTGGTCAGGGATGGCTTTGAGGATAAGGTGGTACTGAAGAGGGGCTTTGGAAGACAGGAAAGAGTTTATAAGAAAGGGAACTTTCCCGTGGGGAAGGAGAAGGAGTTATCAAGATAGGTATCAATGAGGCAGGAGACTGGCCCATGTAAGATATTGGGAAGGGTTGGGAAGGAAAACGGACCTATTATGTGTTGAACATCTTCTGTGGGCCCACAACTGTGCTGGGAACTTCACAGATATGCTCTCATTTAATCCTGACAAAACTTTATTACTCTCATCTTCCAACTGAGAAGTTATGTGACTCTCTTAAGGTCACACAGCTAGTAAATGATAGAAAAAAAGAGGGTTCCACCAAGAGTCTGACTTTAAAACCTGTGTTCTTCTCTCGCACCGTGCTAAAGAAAAAGGCCTTTACCCCACAACTCTCCCTTGTACTATGATATAAAGATTATAGAGGTTTTTCTGGTCCCTTCATTGAGCCTTATGTCACCACTTCCACCAAAACACCATTGAAGAGGTTGCAATTCTGTGCTATTCAAGGAACTGGGCTCCTGGAGCTCCACAAGTAGATTCTTCATGCTAGGTTCTCTTGCCTCTCCCCTTGAAGGTCAGGTCCTCAATGATGGGAAAGTCTTCATTCATCTGTGCAACTACATTGAGCCCTGGGAGAACTTGTCCTTTTTGCAGAGAGAAAGTCTGAATCATCACTACCTTCTGAACTGTGGCTGCCAAGTAAGAAAATGTCCATTTCCAAGGTCTTTTGGAGGTCAGAGAAGAGTCTTGAGCCTTGCAGCCTCATTGTTCATGTATTCCTTCATTCATGCATGCATTTATTCACTTACTATACAATACTTGAGATCTGCCAAGGATCTGGCACTGTATAAAGCTGAGGATAGGAAAGCAAGATGGTCCATAGTCCTTGATCTCAAAGTACTTAACATTTTGGCTGGGAAGGTGGCCATCAAATAAAGCTGACTGAGATAAAATAGCTACCATTTAAGGAGAATCTATTTTTTGCCAAGCCCTGTAATGGTCAATTTATTTAAAATATTTAATTTAGCCTTTATAACAAATTTTCGAAGAATTAAGATTTCTATTTTAAGGTGAAGAAATTAACGCTCTAGGAAGTGAAGTGAGTTGCTCAAGGTCAGTGGTGGAGTAAGGACCGGGTCTGTCTGACTCCAGAGATGCCATTAGAGAGGTAATACTGTATGTGGGGAGCACAGGGGAAGGAGAACTCAGGGGGAAGTTTGGAGACTAGGAAAGGCTCCAAAAGGCAGGGGTATTTGAGCTAGGCTGTAAGGATATGTAGGAGTCTGAAATGCAGTAATGGAAAAAGAACACTCTACTCACTTTGATGTTGTGTGGCTCTGACTCTAGATCACCACCTGCTACACACTGCCCTGTACGATCTCGGCCCGCAACGAGTGCCTCTGGACAGACTGGCTGTTGGAACGGAAGCTCTATGGGTACCAGGCCCAGCATTATGTCTGCCTGAAGCATGTTGATGGCACCTGCAGGTGGTACCAGGGCCGCCTGCCCCTCAGGAAGGAGTTTGTTGACATCATCCAGCCCTAGTAGGGACCAGTGACCACCACACTCCTTCAAGAGTCCTGAAGACCAAGCCAGTTCTCCTTCCCTGCAGACCTCTGGCTGTCACCATCTGCCTCATTGCTGCCACCCCATGGGAAGTACCAAGTAGACAGTCTGGCTAGCATTAGGGCAGGGATGGGGCATGTTACAGCTTGTGTCCAAGACCCCAGTCCAGAACCTGTCAAGGGCTAGGGAAAGAAGTATGACTTTTCTACCCTGGCCTCAGTCCTTCTCCCCTGCCTCCCAGATCCTTTAGTCTAGCTGGTACCTGTTACTGAAAGTTTTGATTCTGGCTTGGTTTGTCTTCCAAAGCCAGAACTATTCCCTTTTCTCCCAAGGAAAATTTGTTTTCTCCTACCTTAACTGATCTGCTAGGGGAGAAATGATAAATATTATACGTATGAGATAGTATAGCGTTGTGATGTACGATACAGAAGGGGGGTTGACAGTATCCTAAACAGGCTGATTGGAGGAATGACAAGAACAACATACTATGGCTGTGTATCCTCTACTCCTGTCTCAACTCATCCTAATCCTCTCAGACACTTTCATCTGTGAGAGTGACTTGGGGGAGTATGGAGTCACTCGGTGTGATACCTACAACGGCCTAAACTTCCTCCGCATGCTGTAATCCCCTCTATACCATTCCTGGAAGAGCATCTGGCCCAGTTAGCACACCTTTTTGGACAAGAACAGACTTAGGTATTGTATCTCCAGGTTAACTGTCCTTAATGCTGATGTCCATAAGACTTCTCTGCTTTTTATTTTAGAAAGTCTTTTTCTACTAGATTACTAATGTCTTCACTCCTACTTCAAAACTTTTCTTTAAGCCAAAAAAGCCTTTCTCTTGTAGAGCTGAAATTCCCCTTTAGCTTTTGACACCTCAGAGAGATCTTAGGATGTCTTCTCTTTAGGGCAAATTTCAGGATACAGGACAGGTGAGAAATAACACAAGGTCCTTTGGGGGAAAAGGATGGTACATGGAGAGAATATATTTTGCAATAGTTGCAGTTTTTTCTGTGGTCAGCCCTGCTAGATATTATAGCAGGAAAAAGCCATCTTTACTCCCTGTCCTCCCTTCAGCTCAGTCCCCTCACCACTGTGTCTTGGACTCCCTGAGAACTCCAAGCACAGACCTCTTAGGGTTCCTCAGCCTCTGCAAGGCTTCCTGGCTTGCCCTGAAAAGGAAAGCCCTGATGTTGGTCTCAAGGATTTATTAAGGACAAGGGCTTAACATTCCAGAGCCTCTCCCTGGGGGAAGCTCTGGCAAAGGTGAGGGAGGTAGTTTTTTTTTCAAGGCCCAAGGTTGTTATTCAGCTTCTACGTATGTTTGCTGAGAAGCAGGGCCATGCACAATATGCCAGAAGAAGTCTCTTGATTCACAGAAATGGTATAAATGGAGATCCCTTTTGGAGAAGGGAGTGGGAGGGGGAACAAACATGATCTCTGTGCCAGAGTACAACAGTTGGAATGCTATGGCAGAGTCTCCATTGGTGGGTCAAGCAGGATCACCAACTGACAACACAGGCCTGGAGCAGAGGATGTGGGGACAGAGAGGAAGAAACAGGTTGAGCTCGAGGTCTCCATGGAGGAAAAACGTTAGCAATAGCCTCAGTACCAACCAACCATGCCATCTCTCTGATCCTTCTGACATCCTAGGATAGCCTCAGAGAAGGCATATTATTAACCCAGTCTTACTGCAATCTTGAGGAAGCCAAGGGAATGGAATGGTCTGGTGACTAATAACAGGAACAACATGTTCCATCTGAGGAGCGCTTCACACTTTTCCAGAAGGCTGTTACTTAAAGAACCTCACTTGAATTTTTTAAGTACTATATTAGATATACTGGTCAGGCATAATTACGTACACCTGACTTTCCAGTTGGGAAACTGACACACAATGAGGGAATATAACTAGTCCAGTGACATGTGGCAGGGCCAGGGCTAGAATCCAAAGTCGCGGAATCTTCTGATTGTTGATCCATAGGTTTGTTACTTTCTCAGCTTGGTAAACTGCTCTTGTTTCTGCTCTTCCCTATTTTGTCTCCAGATTTTGGAGACAAGGGGCTATCAGCTAAAATCCAGCCACTCTGGCCCCACAAAGCAGATTTGCAGGTCAGCCCCAATAGATCTCTGGGGTTGAGATGCTGAGGCCTTCCTCAGAGCCCCATAGTCACCACGTAGCTAAGCTCAGAGTAGAAATAGCAGAGAGACTAAAGTCCACACTACATTACCTACCATCTCTTTGTGGTTGGGGTAGTATGTTTGCTCAATGAGTGGGAACTTTTCTCCTCCCAGTGTCTTGTAGATGGTCACCAGCTGGGCAAACTGCAAAAGAAAAGCAAATGTTTCAGCTTATCTAGACAACTTCTGGAACAAACAGACAAAACATCAAACTATCAAACAAATATTTGTGGAGCATTTGCTCTGTTGAGTGCTTGGTGCAAAGTGCTCTGAGAATATAAAAGAGGTGTACAATTCCTATTCTCAAGGAACATATGCTTTAGTTGGGGAAAGGAGAGAGAGTGAGCTAACATTCATTCAGTACCTACTCAATTTTAATGATATTTCATTCAATCCTCATATCAAATTAGTAATTAGGTACTTTATCATCTTCATTTTACACATGAGGCTTAGAGAGGATAGGAAAGTTGCCTAAAGTTGCAGAGCTGCAAAGAGATGAAGCTGGTATTGAAATTTGGGTCTCTAACCTTAAACACCTGCATCTCTAGAGATGGCAAGTGATGAAACTGAATAGGTACTATGTGCCCAAGTCTTGGAAGTTCAAAAACCAGGCAAAGGAATGGTAGCTTTTTCCTGTAGGCAGTATGGAGTCATCAGTTTGAGCAGGGGGCTCATGAATGAAGCTGTTCTTCAGGAAGATTTTGAAGGTCATGGTATGCAGGCTAGACAGACCCAATCTTTCTGAGACTTACTTCTTATCTAAGAACTGAACTCATCGGACCCTTCACCTATGAGAAACCAGAACAGCTCCATGAGGAAGAAGAGGTAAAGTACACATACTTACAGTGTCAGGGTTGAAAGGCCTTTGGCAAATATCTAGCACCTCCTGCCCCCCTCCTCCTTTTTAACTGAAGAAACTGAGGCCCAGAGAGGTCACACAGTAGTTGAGCCAGATTCATAGTCAAGCCCTTTTATTCCAAATCCATAATTCTTCCTACTCCTTCAAGTAACTGCCTTTCAGGCTCTGCAGAGACCATGCTCTTTCCACATGAAACAAACAGAACTTTCCAGCTCAATCCATTCATGCACACACCTACACACCCACCTCCAGTGCACTGGCAGCAGGGGTAATCCAGCATCCTCCTGCTATTGCGACTGGGTTAGTTTATACTCTAAGCCACCAATATCTAGAACTGCTAGAAGGAAAAGTTGTCAGATCAAACCTGCCTTCCATTTATCAAAGAAAGGAAAGCTAGAACATTTTTCAAAAGCTCAGGCCCTATTCTCTATAAGGGATGTTGGCACATGAGCCAGTGGGAGGAGAGGGGGGTGTAGCAGTAAAAGCTCAGAACTGGATTGTTAGAAAAGTGGAGTCTTCTGAGGCTTGTTCTGCTTCTAACTTGCTAGGTGTCCTTGAGCAAAAGATTTCTCCTCTCCAGGCCTCATTTGCTCCACATATAAAATGAGAGGGTTGAATTTGATTAGTTCCTCAAACTTTTTACCACAAAGAACATTTTTTATTATATTTCCTCCCAAATTCCATTATCAAACTGCAGTTTAAGTGATCATCTGTTGTGGTCCTTTTGTGAATAAAGATAGAATTGTGTTATTTTTGAAATGCTGGAAGACAGTGGAATTTCTGGGTCATTTCCCTTAGTGACACATGGTTGGTGACTGCAGGTCTCTAATGCCTCCATCAGGACTGAGAGTATGATTCATGGCCTCCCAAGCCCCTAAGACTTTATTATTGAAAGAGACTTTAGAGAGCTCTAGACCAGACATCTCATGTTACAAATGAGGAGACTGAGGCTGGAGAAAGCGTAGGCTCCCGGATCATGCCTGGCGTTGGGGCTGCACTGGGACAGCACCTAGGTCTCTTCTTGCCCAGTGCATTCTCCGTTGCACCCTGCTGTCCTTACCATTCTCTGGTTCTTCAATTTGCTTTGACTATCAGGACCAACCCCTCAGACCTTCCCTGCCTTCTCTGGTTCTCTCAACCACCTCATCTGACCTTTAAGCCCAGTCTGCCCACCTCGGCCTGGCTGGATTCCTGCTCTGCCTTTGGATACCTGCCTGAGCTCCCAAAGCTCTCCAGCATCCCTGGGGAGCTGATGCCAGCTCTGCCTAACAACCTCTGTCCTGCTGCTGCCCACACCCTGGCATGGCACCAAGGCATGTGGGGCCCTATCTTCCCAGCATGTGGGAGAGTTACACAGACATCACACTGATGCCAGGAAGGCCCACGGCAGGCTCTCAGAGTCCCGGTACTGCCAAGACTAAAATGGCAGCCAGTTCCCAGGCACTAGTTGGGTCCCTGGGAGCTCACCCCACCCTCCTCCACCTTATCTCCAGCAGTCCCTGTCTGCTCAAGGTACTGGGCTTGGCATCTAACACCTGCCTCCTTTGAAACTTACATCAAGTCACAAGCACACAGTTACCAATTAAACAAATGTAATATCTGATAAGGGTTATTTCCTCCATGCATAGACAAAAGAATGGATTTGGGAGCTTGGGGTGGTATTGGCAATGAATAGGAAGATAATGTTCATTATAACCACTTATCCAGTGAATCAGGAAAGACTCGGAAGAAATGGGATTTCAAGATGAGTCTGAATTTAATATGTTATCCTTATCCCTCCTGGAAATAAAATGCTTTAATTCAACCCTAGTACATCTGTCTCTAAAAAACCCACAAAGACTAATAAGAATTTCAGATAAATTTACAGCAATATGGGATGGTGGCATTCTTGCTTTCTCTGGAATGCTGCTTTCATTGATAGGCCCATTTCAGCTTCCAAAATCCCAGTGTGCCTGCCCTGACCAATTTATGAGAGAGCGGACGTGCTCAGAGACACAGTGATATAAGGCAGAGCCTTTTCCAACTCAATTTGAGGCCTCTCCTCACACCAACGGCAGCCACAATAAAGAAATTTAGAAAATATGAACCAAAGTCATCATCTCAGAGGGACCCTCCCCTCAAAGTCACCAAATTTGTCTACTCCCAATAACAGGCAGAAAACAATATATAAAATGCCATGAGTGTGGCAGCTGCTTAGTGAAAATGAAAGGAGAACTTGGTGTCTGGCCAGGGAGCTCTGCTGTTCTCATGTGATGCCAAAGGCAATGTGCTGGGATTGTGAATGGGTGAGAAAGTGAACCCTCACCAGATCCCAGATCCCAGGAGAGGCAAAGACCTAAACACAAGCCCTCTGATTCTTCCCTCCCTGGCCTCCGGTACAGTTTTGAAACATAAAGCAGAGAACTAGTTTCTCTGAGATCTCAAATACTAGGGGAATGTAACAACCAGGCTGACAAACTGGTGGCAGGTACTCTATTATTCCTAGTTTTCAGACAAAGAAACCGGGGCACAGATAGGTTTAGTCAGAAGGCTAATTAGTGAAATCACCCAGAAAAACCTGATACTAGCAGAATCACCCTGTGTGGCCATGAGGGAGCCAAATTCTAACAGATATCGAAGGGGTAGAGGAGAAGGACTGGGGCATATGTACAACAGGGAAGGTCACGTGACTAAGGAGAAAGGGGAGGTCCCCAGAAAAGAAACTTGGTGAGAGCCTCATATATGCTCTTCTGCAATTAGCAACACACTCAAATCACACAAATCTTTTAGCCTTTTTCTGCAAAACCCTAGGATTTCAGATGCCTCAGCCCACACAGAGGGAAAGGCTGGACCAGCGGAGGTCAGGAACCCGGCCCTCCCTCCTTAACCACAGCCTCTCCCAGATTTCTAACTCCTCATTCATTGGTCTTTCTCTTACACTGTTAGGCCTCCCTGGCTTCCAAGGGAACAGGAAAAATTCGAGTTCAGGTGTGAAAAAAAGATCAAGAGCAGAGGCGATGGATCCATTTAGTTAAAAATACCCCCTCCAGCTCCCCGAGTGGTGGAGAAGCTGGGGGTCTGGGAACTTCACAATCAGCCACCAGTGCCATGACCATTGACAAGCCAGTGTATGATAGCTGAAATTTGAGTTTTGGAAAACAAGAAGAGGAGGATGTGATTAGGGGAAGGTGTTTCCTTCTGAGAGGGCCAGCCTGGAACAGCAGAGTTACAGGCACTGGGTCCCCTCAACTGTCAGAGGGGAGGCCAGAGTAGCCATCATAGGTCACTCTCCCTCCCAGCCCCACTCCTTCTCTCTCCTCAAGTTTCCACTGGACAGAAAAAAAGTGGGGGGAGGAGGCAGCCCCATGGCCAATTGGTTAAGTTCGCCCGCTGCACTTCAGCAGCCCAGGGTTTTGCCAGTTCGGATCCTGAGCGTGGACATGGCACTGCTCATTAGGCCACGTTGAGGCGGCATCCCACATACTACAACTAGAAGGACCCACAACTAAAATATACAACTATGTACTGGGGGGATTTGGGGAGAAAAAGCAGAAAAAAAAAAGAAAAGAAGAAGAAGATTGGCAACAGTTGTTAGCTCAGGTGCCGATCTTAAAAAAAAAAAAAGTTTCCACTGCCTCCCAGATTTCCAGGCTGGCCAAGGAAGAGAACCCAGACCAGCTTCTTCCTCATACAGTAACCCAATTTATGTGATCAGCACTGTGATCCAGAGAAATACTGGCTCTATAACTTAGATAAATTACTTAACCCTTTCTGGGTTTCACTTCCCTGTAAAAAGTGATAATAATGATAATATCTTCTTTGTAAGGTTATTGTAAGGATTAAATGAAATAATGTAGCAAAATCTCAGAAGTTGGCACCATACAGTAAGTGGTTTTATACTCCTCACTTTCCTTCTTTAATTTTCACATCTCTACCATGAAGGGGTGAGATTTGACAATCTCTAAGAGCACTTCCAGCTCATGTAAGTTTCTCATTCATATGTTTGTAGATAAATGTCATTTTAAGGTTGTTGAACCACTTGGTACGACTCTGTCACTAACATCCCTCTGAGATAGACCATCCCCTTGGTCTCCACTGGCCTTGGGTCTCCATGCCCTTAGGGTCTAACTTTCTAATAGTTAGACCCTTCATAGGTAAGAAACAGGTATTTTTCTTGTTGCGTCCTATGGCTGAGGGCAGAGCCTACAGACCAGTAAGGGCTTCTTCACAGAATCTTTGTGTGACTTTGTTGTGAGGCCAAAGGTCTACTCTGCAGCAAAGGTGGTCCAGCCCATGATGATAATGTTCTACTATGAAAGCCTACCCTACCCTATGTCCCAGCTAAAGCTCCTCCCATATCCTCTCAGCCGGTGCCTACTGCATCCTGATTAACAGTGGCCCTTCCCGGGGGAACGGGAGATACAGGATCTGGATCCCACCCTTTTACCTGGGGGGAAGGAGACCTCACTCACCACCCATGGCTTGTCACAGAAGTTGTAAATGGATTCCAGTGAGTTGATGCTGGGGAGGCCTGCGTACTGCATGCCAATAATCAAGTGTCGGAAGTCCTCATTCTCTGCCATGCCGAATGCATGCTGCCGGATGAGCACAAAGTCTGGCCGGAAGGACCTGGTAAGAAGTAGAGGCGAGTTTGCCAGTAACCAGCATCATCATACATCATCTTGTCTCCCATTCCAAAGCCAAAGACAGAGAAGCAGTCTTAGGGGCCACCTGGTCCAAGACCCTCATTTTATTATTATTATTCTTTTATGGACTAAGAAATGAGGCATTATGGCATATCTCAAAGGAGATTTGATGAACAGATTTCTGAAATTCCCTTATTCCTTTGGCTTAAGCACTACCTTTCTCTAAGTTACAAATGCCCTCAGGAGGGAAGAAATACTTTTAGACCCTCACACTGAAGTGAGCAAGAATTTTCCCTGACCCTATGGGGCAGTACGAGAGCTGAAGCTCCTTGTGGCTCCAGAGTTGGTGCTGGGGTCCCAGTAGATTTAAAGACAATATACTTAGCTGACTTCATCACCTTGCCTTGGAGATGCCTGATTTCAGTGTCCTGTCCTGACTCCTTAAAGCTGCTCCTTAAAATAGGCACTGCCCTTATCAGGCCCCCAGGAGTGCAAGGGTCCAGGCTAGCTGAGAACAGATGCCAGACTTCCCAATGTTATTCTTCCAAAGCAGACGCTAGGGAGGGGTATAAATATTTTTCGCAGAACTGAGGTTGAGCAATGGCTACAGGAAGCACTGGGAGTACAGAATGTTCCTGTGCATGGGAAGGCTCCCCGCGTTTCACCCCTAGCCATCAAAGCTCCTAGCCACAGCTGCTTCATAGGCCCAGGACCTCTGTCTTCATGCCCTGACTCCAGAGGAACCCCACCTTCCCAGAGAATCAGTTCTGTAGCAGCATATTCCCTCAAGGCTCTAAGGCTCAGCAGCTTCACACCATGTGCAATGACCTACCTGGGTCTCTGCCGAGGCACCCATCCAATCCCCACCTATAGCTCCAGCCCCACCCAGGCTCAGAGATCAGTCTTTTAAAGTGGAGGTAAAAGGAGCCTTCCTCAGTCACTCAGGTGACTTAGTATCAAGTCAGTATGGCATGTGCTAGACCTGCTCTGACCTCCTTATGTCCATTCTGGGAAACTGGCTCCAGCTGTATGCCTGAGATCAAACCTTATATCCCAGTTATAGGAGTTGAGCTCTAGACTTGTGGCGAGCTCTTGAGTTCCTACACTGATACCTGGAGAGGCCTGCCTTATTCTTGCCAGATCCCTCCCAGGATCCTGCTGTGGACCTTTCTGTCACCACCTGCTTGTGTGCATGTACCCCTATGACTTACTTCACCTAAAGTTAAAGAAGCCCATAATTCTCTCTTGTAAGATCTCTCTGAGCTTACTCCCCACCTGGACAGACATCTTTTTTTGTCCTCTTCCTTAGTCTCCAGGATGGACAAGTTCAGATATCCTGTTGTTAGGTTTCAGGCACCCGAGTTTTGCCTTTCCTGTCACTGACCCAGTTCTTGTTGGACACTGGAGGTCTCAGTGTCAGGGTACTGCAGATTGAGGTAGGGAAGAGAGTGAAGTGAAGACTCTTCCTGGAGCAAGACTCTGATGTCTGAAAACCTGAAGCCACACTGAGCCCCTGGGAAGAATAACACTGTGGAAACCATTTTCCTCCATCTGGAATTCTCATCACCTCCCTCACAGAATTGTTATATTACATTTGGTCAGGTCTATGAGTCACCCAATACACCAGCTGGCATGTAAGTGCTCTGTAATTGCAAATTTCCTTTCACCCACAATGTCCCCTCCAACCCTAGGCTTTCCTATCAGACTTAGGAGTTTCCACGAATGAAAAATATAGAAAGAACACAGGGCTGGGAGTTAAGAGAATTCACACAGAACACAGGCTCTGCTACCAACTTGCTGAATGAATCTAAGCAAATCAAGGTAAAATAGGAGGTTGAACTAGATCAGAGGTTTTCAAACTTTTTTCTAAAGCAATGGAATCCGTTTTCCAGGGGAAATATATGCAGAGATAAAGGCACAGAACTGCACTGGTCAAAGTGGGGCTGGAGTACCAGAACCCCTCTGACAGGGACCCAGTTACCTCTAAGTGAGTTCTGAGTCCATAAAGCTTTCTCTACCATTGGACTGAGAGCTCTCTGAGGGCAAGAGCTGATTTTCTCTGCCTTCCTCTACTGCTTCCACACAGCACACATCATTGGGTTCTGCACACTATACATAGCACTGCTATCCTACTCCAACACCTGATTTTGAAACCACCTCTGCAAGCTAGAGATGGTAATTCTGGAGACAGTGACAATGACCCTGAGGACAGAAGGGACCTTACCGGACAACCTTTGTGCCATTCCGGAGAACCTGCATATCCACAGCATAGGTCCCATCTGCATGGGCCACCAGGTTGAGCTCTGAAAATTCCGCCTGGAAAATAACAGTAGGGGATTAAGAGGGTAGATTTCATCTTGTGTTTTCTAGTACAATTAAAAAAATCAATAAAAATAACAGTAGGAGAATAAGCCCCCTGTCCTGACTTGGCCAAGTCCTCCACATAGCAGCAGCAGCAGCAGCAACTGCAGCCCCACCACCAAACATTTATTTACAGTTTTCAAAGCATTTTCACAAACTTATCTCAGCTAACTCTCATAGCAACTCCATGAGGCAGGAAGGACAGAGATAATTATCCTCATTTACCAAAGGAGCAATTAAGTATCTTTTCTGAATAAACAAAACTTATTGTTGGCAGAGACAGGAGCAAAACTTGGGTCTTTGGACTCCCAATCCAGCAGCCTTTGTGCTGCCTCTCTACAGGGCAGGAACGTGAACCAGGGCAAACATGATCTTATCAGTTTTAATATAAAAGCACTAGGTTTTAGTTTAGGCAACTGTGTTTTAGTTACGTTCTGCCTCCAACTAGCTGCACAAGACATTAGACAAGTTACTTGTCCTCTCTGGAAGGACAGATTCTTCCACCTATAAAATGGGAATAATTTTTATCAAGCCTGCCTATCTAACAAGTTATTTTAAGAACTGAATGCAATAATGGATAGGAAAGTACTCTGTAAATCACACCACACTGTGTAAGGAATGGTGAGTAACTTCTATTATTACATAGAAAATACACTCATTGTTTAAAGTGGACATCCCCCTCTCCACCCAAACAGATCTAATCTCTATTTGTCAAGAAGCAAAGGATAAAGGAAAATAAAAAAGGAGTCTTTCAGGATTTGACTGCATTAAAACAAGGAGGTGTTCTTTTCTAAGTTCTCTCCAAAATGTAGCCTCAGGCCCAGAGCAGGCAACACTGGAGGCCACACACCTGAATGGCAGACATGTGCTTACTCAGGAATACCACATGTGACCAATAATACAGAGGTGCAGCCAGTGTCCTAGGAAAACATTCCTCTAAGGTCTTCTTCCTCAGCCTGAGAATCTTGTGCTGCAAGAGGGCACTGAGAGCCGTACTGCTTGCCTCTCTACAGACAGCAGAAACATGAAAAGAAGTCAGGGAAATTGAAAGATGCAGCCTTCAGGACCATGTCTTGTAGAGAGAAAAGTCCTAGGGAAAGGGTGGAGTTGAGGAGACGGAGAGCCTGGAACCCAGTGATGGATACTGTACTCTACTCAGTTGACCTAGGTGGTTCACACTGGGATGCCAAGAGGGAACAATGATGACGCAGATGCAGTTCTGGGCTTCGGGCTGATTACCTGTTCCACTTTGATATCATAATCTCCAAGGATTTTTTTGCCCCGAAAGCACTTGGTCCTGGAAAAAGGAAAAAACCCATATAAATTAGTTTTGTACTAGTGTTTGAGGTCAGAAATTCACTATCACAAAGATGAGGACTGCAGCAGACAGAACCCTGGAATGAGAGTTAGGAGACCTGGGTTAGGGTTAGACCTTACCTCTGCTGTTGGATCACCATGAGACCGAGCCTCGAATAAACCACTTCCTCTCCCTAATGCTCAACTTACCAACCTATAAAACAATCCAAAGCACCTTTTCACTCTCAGGTTTTGTGATTTTATAACACCCCTGGTCTTTTGGCTACAAAAGTCTAGAAGTAGTAATTTCCCTAATGCTATTTCTGGTAAAGACTAGGTCAATCTTATGCATCTCTACAGTTTCCTTACCTTCCACCATCCTATGTTTCACTCTAATTTTCTAGTTGGTTTCCACTGTTGGAATTTTAGTTTTTAAAGAAACTGTTATCATTTCACCTCTTCATACCCATCCATCCAAAAGAGATGTGAGGCAATTAATAATTTAAAAAGCAAATACAACCAACAAAACAAGGATTAAATGACAATCAATGAATGAGAGAGAGAGAGTTAATTATACTGGGGAATGGGAAAACGTGAGGAAAGCTGCTACAATTGAACACAAAACCTATCCTTTATTTCTGAGCAGTCAAGAAAATGAGTCAAGGTGAGCTATACAGCACTTATTATTTTCCCATTTTGTCACGGATCTGGAGGACCCTCACATTTATGCATTAATGGCTTCATAGCCCCTCATAAGTGGACTTATACTTATATCCATTCCTACTTAACCTACCCTCTCCCCCATAAGATTTTCTTACCTGCCCATTTAGGCTGGTCCTCTATTTGTAAAAAGGGCCTTTCCACACTGTATCTGTTAGTTAGATCAGGCTTGCTTTTCCAGTGCTTGAAATTTCAAATTAGCATGTTTCACTGGAGGTTTTCAAGAAGTCCCTCCCCCAAATAAAGGAATAAACCAACATTTATTGGGCATCATGTTCTAGGAACTGTGTGTGAATTGCTTTCAAGAACATCTCATTTAACCCTCATAACAACTTATGAGATAGGGAGAAAGGTCTCATTTTCAAGAGGGGGAAACCAATACTCAGAGGAGGAAAATGGCATATACAATCATACAGTAACTTAGTGACAGAGCCAGTATTCACACCCAAGTCTGACTCCAATGCCCTTGGAGTCTGAGGGCATAGCACAGTCTCCCTCTGCTGATTCATTCTCTTCATCCTCACTTCCCCACCATTATAAAAACTGACTTGTCATGTGTGCTGCATTGCATGTTTTTTTCCCCTCATTTTCCTTCCCCTGCTGAAAAGGGACTTGACGCTGTGAGCACTAGTCCCACTACAAATACTTCCTACCCTGCTTCCTGTGAACCACCCAGGATGAGGCCAGGCTATTTCCTTTCCTCTCTAGGTTCTGGAACAGTTTGTTCTAGGAAGCTGTCATTTATCCTACCCAAGTCTCTGGCCACCCTCAAATTGCTCCTCAGAGGCACTCAGCCATCCTAGAGCTGGATCACTGAAGTCCATCCCCCCACCTCTGCCCCAATTCCTTACTAAGCTTCATCAGCTTGGTCCCAGGTTCCTGTTCAACATTCATAGCTCAGCAAGCCCCTCCAGCAAGGAGCCTATAGCATATCCCAACCCTCTGGCTACTGTTCTGTCTTATTTATGGGTTTAAATAATAGTCTATGCATGGCACTACACTGCTCTGCAGATCTTGGACTCTGTAGGTCTTTGTCCACGACTATAAAAAGGAGGAACTAGAGTAAATGACCAATGAGGTTCCTTTCTTGCATTGGTGAGGTGCATCTACCTTGTTATCAGCAATGCTTTTCCAATGCTTCCTCCCATCTTCCTGTCTCAAAATAGCTCTCCTTCTGTGAGGTAAGTCTCAGAGACATGAAAAACAACCTCTCATTCTGTATGATGCCTGACATTTTCCAAGTACATTCCTTGCCTTATCTGTTCCTTACAACACTGTGAAGCAGCCAGGACAGACAGTGCTGTCCATTTGACTGATGGGGAAATTGATATGTCTAAATCACAGAAAAGTTCAAAAGAGTTAAGCTTAGAACTAAGAGTTTACATCTAGGTGCTTACATAACGTCAAGTTTTAAAATTCACTCATATATTTTATGGGTTTTGAATACTGATATTAAAGTATATTTATAAATTCTGGCTGGGTTTATCTGCCACTTCCTGTACCTGCCCATTGACCAAGTTGGCTAATGATACTGTTTTCATGCCTTCTCCCCACCCCCACCTCTCCAATTATCTTAATGCCTTTTCCTTAAGGTAATTTGGTCTGTTGGAAATCTTAGTCCATGTTTACTCGCTCTAGGCCACTGACCTCTCTTAGATGAGCCACAATCTCATAGAAAAGGAGCCGAGATGGCAGGCAGGCAGATGGGGCAGAGCATTCTGGAGAATGAACACATTCTCCCAGCTCCTGGCCCTTGGACATTTTGGTTGCAGGTATTTCCATGAAAAATTTTGTAACATACAAGCAAGTGACAGAAACACTCTTTGATAGTAAGAGAGCACTATTAGGAATCAGTGTGCTAGAATCCAGAATATGGGCTCTGGAATCATAGTCTGGGTGTATATCCTAGCTGTACCCTTTCCTGGCTGTATGACCTTATGTAAGTAAGTGGCTTACATTTTAAAAAAATTAGTATGTCCTGTGGTTAAATCAATCAATCAATCTATCTTCAAAAGCATATAAAAGGATAAAATGAAAAATAAAAGTTTCTCCTTTCCCATTCCTCTCTCCTTACACATACTCCCCATCATCAGTTACAAGCATCTCTATCCAGTGTGGGGAAAATGTGTGGATGTATCTACATTCATATAAGCTTCAACATATATATACACAGCACCATGCTATATAAACTCTTTTTTTTTTCTGTTTATTCTTTTTTTTGGTGGTTTTTTTTTTATTGTGGTTATAACAGTTTATAAGATTATGAACTTTCAGTTGTACCTTATTATTTGTCAGACACAATATAAATGTGCCCCTTCACCCCTTGTGCCCACTCCGCACTCCCCTTCCCCCTGGTAATCTAACTAAACTGTTCTCTTTGTCTATAAGTTTGTTTATGTTCCACAAATAAGTGAAATCATATAGTGTTTGTCTTTCTCTGTCTGGCTTATTTCATTTAACATAATACCCTCAAGGTCCATCCATGGGGTTGCAAATGGGACAGTTTTGTCTTTTTTATGGCTGAGTAGTATTCCATTGTATATACATACCACATCTTCTTTATCTAATCATCAGTTGATGGGCACTTGGGTTGCTTCCACATCTTGGCTATTGTGAATAATGCTGCAATGAACATAGGGGTGCATAAGTCTCTTTGTATTGTTGATTTCAAGTTCTTTGGATAAACACCCAGTAGTGGGATAGCTGGGTCATATGGTATTTCTATTTTCAATTTTTTGAGAAATCTCCATACTGTTTTCCATAGCGGCTGCACCAGTTTGCATTCCCACCAGCTGTGTATGAGGGTCCCCTTTTCTCCATAACCTCTCCAACATTTGCTATTTTTTTGTCTTGGTGATTATAGCCATGCTAACAGGCATGAAGTGATATCTAAGTTTAGTTTTGATTTGCATTTCCCTGATGATTAGTGATCTTGAGCATCTTTTCATGTGCCTATTGGCCCTCTGTATATCTTCTTTGGAAAAATGTCTGTTCATATTCTCTGCCCATTTTTTGTTTGGGTTGTTTGTTTTTTTGTATTTCAGTTGTATGAGTTCTTTATCTATTATGGAGATTAACCCCTTGTCGGATATATGATTTGCAAATATTTTCTCCCAGTTGGTGAGTTGCTTTTTCATTTTGATCCTGGTTTCCTTTGCCTTCCAGAAGCTCTTTAGTCTGATGAAGTCCCATTTATTTTTTCTTTTGTTTCCCTTGTCCGAGTAGACATGGTATTTGAAAAGATCCTTTTAAGGCTGATGTGAAAGAGTGTACTGCATATATTTTCTTCCAGAAGTTTTATGGTTTCAGGTCTTATTTTCAAGTCTTTGGTCCATTTCGAGTCTATTTTTTTGTATGGAGGAAGATAGCAGTCTACTTTCATTCTTTTGCATGTGGCTGTCTAGTTTTCCCAGGATTATTTACAGAAGAGGCTTTCCTTTCTCCATTGTATGTCCTTGGCTCCTTTGTTGAAGATTAGCTGTCTACAGATGTGTGGTTTTATTTCTGGGCTTTCTATTCTATTCCATTGATCTGTGTGTCTGTTTTTGTACCAGTACCATGCTGTTTTGATTACTACAGCTTTGTAATATATTTTGAAGTCAGGGATTGAGATGCCACCAGCTTTATTCTTGTTTCTCAGGATTGCTTTGACTATTCAGTGTCTTTCGTTACTCCATATGAATTTTAAGATTCTTTATTCTATTTCTGTGAAGAATATCATTGGGATTCTGATTGGGATTGCGATGAATCTGTAGATAGCTTCGGGTAGTATGGACATTTTAACTATGTTTATTCTTCCAATCCATGTTCATGGAATATCTTTCCATTTCTTTATGTCATTATCGATTTCTTTCAGGAACGTCTTATACTTTTCCAAAACTCTTCTTTTTTGCACCTTGATTTTTTTTTTGCTTTTAAAAACATATCTTAGTGATATCCTGTCAGTAGATACTGATGGACCTCTTCCTTTTTAATAGTTGCATGAAATTCCATTTGATGGTCATACGGTAATTTAACCAATATTTATTGGCGAGCATTTAGATTTCCAGTTTTGGGGTTGTTTTTGCTATTACAAACAGTGCTATAATGGCTTACACTTAAGACTATATTCATAGGACAAATAATTTTTTTCCAACTTTACTGAGGTATAATTGACAAATAAAGTTGTATACATTTAAAGTGTACAACATGATGATTTGATACACATATACTTTAGGAAATGATTACCACAATCAGATTAACACTTTCGTCACCTCACATAGTTACTATTTTTTGCGTGTG